CTAAAAGAAACTCTGTGCATGGTTATTCATTACTCAATGCATGCAGCCTCAGAGAGCCGGAGGCGGGTGAAGCTGCCCAATATCACACGCTGGCATTTTTCAGCTCCATGTTTTGAATGATCTCAAGAAAATCAGCTGTGCCCTGGCTTGCTTACCCAGAAAAAATAAAAGGATTTCCCAACACTTCCTTTTTCTGACTGAGGTAGGAAACTGCCACAAAAGCATGCTGGCACCCAGCCTACCCGAGTCAGAGGGTAGGAGCTGTGAGCATGGGAAAGCATACATAACAACCAACTTCTCAAGCTCAAAACATCCACGCCAGGCTTTTATCAACCCAAATACCCATTCCAAGGTTTAAAATCCACTAGCTTTGCTCATATATATTTATTTAAGTACTGTAACCAGCTTTCAGCAACAGTGCAACCTGAGAAAGAGCCCCACGCCTTCACACTCCTGATCAGCGCCCTTGTGATACCTCCAGCCCTATCCCAAGGGATGGCAAAGCCAGGGAGCAGAGGCTGCTTGCCTCCCCGCCAGCCACCACTGCTGCGGGGCAAGAAATTTTTTATTAATTTTTTTACCTTTGGTGCAGAACAGGGAAGAGCTGCACACGAAAGACCTTCACCATCCCAAGTCCCAGGCTCTGTCCCCAGGAAAGTCCTGGGCTCACCCTGGCTGTATATATGCCCTACAACACATGGTGGGATTTACGGTGAGGCTGGTGGGGAATGAGGAGCACCTGCAGGCACCCGGCAGGATGCGACCCGTTGCATTTGCCTTGCAAAACACCCGTTAGCAAGGATCACTCGCACTTGCACTGAATTGCTTTTACAGCCCTCAATCAATGTTCAGATTCCAGTGTCTGGGAGGGTCTCTCAAAAAATGCTTCCTGGGTCCTTCTTCTGTAATTTGGGGTCAGCGAAGGAGTGGACAAAGAACCGCCATGTTTTTCACACAACCACAAATCTCTGTCACTTTGTTAAGTTGTTTTCCCTCATCAGGCCTGGCCGTTGCTGGGTTGTACCTCCCCATGGCTCCCCGATATGTGGAGCACCCCAGGACGGGGCTCACCTTGCCCATCCTGCCCCTCAGAGCATGGGGCATCCTCGCTGCAGGCGTGAGGAAGGCTGACTCCCAAAGGATCTCTGCATCCAAAAGCTGGAAACGATGGAGAGACCCACAATGGTTCACACTCCCCTGGAAAGGCTCATATAGGGGAAAAAAATACACAATTGAGTTTTTATTAATAAAATACAACAGCGGATGTACAGCAGGAGAGAGACCTGTGCATCTTAACACCAGCTTGCTGTGGGGGGACCTCCTGCCCTGCCCACATTTGTGGGACAAGGCAGGGGCTCTCAGAGGAGCTCTCAGAGTCGTTGCCTTCTCCATCCTCTCCTGGGGGTAGAGAGGAGAAAGGAGGGGTTAAAAAATAAAGCGTAATTGCTGGCTAAGCCCAGCCAGCGGGCAGAAAGCAAAGCGTAAAGATGTGGGAGAAAGCACAGCAGGGCCGTGGGTGTAGCCGGAGGGGCCGGCAGCCTCGCCACATGGTCCCATCTTCCAGGCTCTCCTCCAGGTCTTCCTGCTGCCTGGAAAGCTTGGTGATGTGCTGTACACAGGAGGGCTCGGTAGCTCTTTTAGCACTGACCAAGCAATGCTCTTCCCACCCCTCTTTGCAAAAGACTAGTGGTCTCTCTCCTACCCTCCAAATTTCAGCCCACGCAGTTAAATTTTGATAGTGATAACAGGCATCAGGAAAAAAATCTGGGTGTGCAAAGCAATGTTGGTATGAGGAGGTGGGACCAGCCGTGCCCCGGTGTAGGTGTATGCCCACAGGCACTTGCTGAAACATCTCTTCATCTCCTCCTGGCACTGTACAAACTATCACCAGCTTTTGCAAAGCTGAGACAAGCGCAGCCTCTCTCCCTCCCTCCTTCAGGCTTAGAAGGACACAAGCCATGGAGAGAGATGCTGGTGGCCATGCCAGCAGCCGCGGGTTCCCCAAATGAGCACCATCCAGGGGAAGCGGGCTGCAGACTTGCAAAACTCACACATGCTTCTGCATCACCAGTTTGCGACAAATGCAGCCACAGCCCAGGCCGAGGCACCACAGAAATGCTCGTGGAAGCAGGAACCAGGTTTTGCCTAACCCGACCCTCCTGAGACAGCTCCTCTGGAAACCTGAAAAAAAGAATGTGCTAGATGATACAAAAATACTTAAACGCAAAGCACCACTGTATCACCCAGCTGGCTCCAGTCCTCCCTGCAGAAAATGCTATTGATACCGTTTACTTTCTGCATCAGTAGGCAGAAGATGTGTCTCCCCGGGGCAGTTGCTGTTGCATCGCTTCGTGCTTCTTGGTACATTTGGAGCTCCAGAGCTTTCCGACAAACCCAAGATTCATAGGAGGGTGCCACTGACCACCGCCTCATTTTTGGGGACGTCTCCTCAAAGCAAGCACTGCTGCTGGGCACCACGCCTGTCCTCGGCGCACCCGCCAGCACATCGGACACTCCAGGACCAGCCCGGGCAGCGCGGCACCTCCGAGTGGCAGCGCCACCGAGGATCATACCTCCCAAAGACCTCCTCCCCTTGCTGGGTATTCAGCTGTCAGGCTGCAAGATGAATAGCATGAGGGGTATGATGGAAAAAGGAGTTCTGCCTGCCCTGCCTGCCCCAAGCATGCACCCCTGCTACAGCCGCTGCTTTTTGTGTGCGGCAGGAGCAGCCCAGCCTCTTACCCTGTGGCACGGAGCAACCGTTAATTAATATATTTTGGTTAATCTTTGATCACATGGATCTCAAGATCTCATTTTTGAGATGTTTCTGGCTTTGAGATAGACCTTTTTTAACATGAAGTGTTTGCTGCTTACCTTCTAAAGATAAAAGTTGCATTGCTGGTTGGTGCAGACCAGGATTGCCTCCTGGTCGTAGTAGGGATTAGCTGCTCTACAGCCACGGAAACACCAGGATAAGGGAGTTTGATTTTGAAATATGTTTGAACTGCCTGTCTGCACCACTCGCATGAGATCATTGTGTTAGGGGAAAGTGCATTAGGTCAACCTAACCGGTTTCTTACAGCTGGCTCCCAGGGAAAGTTTCATTCAGCTGCCCAGCAGCACCAGCCAGGCCAGTTCTGCCTTTGGACTTGTCTCACTGGCCGTCTTCTCCGGCTTTGGGTGTCGCACGGGGCACGCTGCATCCCCGCGTGGCTGCCGGTGCCCGTGCCCGTGCCGGGAGCCGCAGGGAGTGCCAGAGGGAGCTGGCTGCCAGCCGGCCCTGACGGATGCTCCCAAACCAGCTCAGCTCCCGTTCCCCACACGATTTCAGAGCCGCGATGAGCGAGGCCCAGCCCCAGCCCGGCCATGGGCTGGTTTGGGGTGCCGGCTGTTTGGGAGAGCTTGGTACCCGCCCAGACCCGGTGGGTGTGTGAGAAGTGGCCCTTAGTGGGGATAAACTTTTAATGTTTCTCTCCCCATGGCCCCGTGGCCATCCGTGACCCCAGCAGAAGGAGCCTGGCTGCGAGCCCAGACCGGCCCCCGCGGGGGCACGTGCGGCCCCGACCACCCCAGGAGAAAGGGCTCCACCACAGGCACGGGCCCCGCGTTGCCCTCCCGCATTGCCCACGGCACCGGCACCACAGGGGTCTCCACCAGACAGAGACAAGGGTTTACTAAAAGTGCTGTATTTACAGGCCAGCATTAATTTGTGCTCTTGTTATTTACAATTTATTTACCATTAATCCCTATAGTCACTGACAGTTGAATCTGGCAGAGTTAGACAGAACTTTACAGCAAACTGGCAAGGCAGAGTAGCCAGAGTTTTACTTCTTTTTCCTTTTCAGCCCTGCTGAGGGAAGGGCTTTAGTGATTTTTCTTCCCCTGGACCACAAAGGCATTGCCTGTTAATCAGGAATCATGGGAGCAGAGGTGACTCACGCTCTGCTGCTGAGCACCGTTTTAGTCCTAACACTGTTGCAGCCGTGAAGGGAAAACTGCTGCCCTCCTGACTTCACGTAAAGTGTTTCCAGGGCTGATGGCTGGTTTCCCTGCACGTCACCCAGCCGGAGCCAGGCAGCACAAGCCCTCCGGCACGGCCCAGTCCCCGTGACAGCGCGGCTCTGCAGACGCGGTGAGTGTCACAGACGGGTTGTGTTGGGATGCGGATGCTGCTCGTTCCCCCGTCTCAGAGCTGAGCCGAGCACAGGTCAGGGATCACCCAGGGCTGCAGGGTGCCAGGCTGTCAGTGACACGGGAGGATTTTGTGTCACCTGCAGGTCACCACTGTCCCTCCTGGGAGGATGGCAGGATCAGGAGGAGCGATCCTGTGGAAGGAGCCTCCGGCAGCCTCCACCACGAGCTGCCGTTGAACTAAGCCTTCGCTGAGGGGCTGCAAGGATGCGCAGGCAACGCGGGCATCACCCTCCTCCACCGTGCGAGGGGGCTCCTGTCAGCCCTGCCAGATGTGGCTGGGGGCCGGGTGAAGCTCCTCTGCAGACCGTCCGTGACTGCCCTCTCACCTTCACCAGCAGGAGATTAGACTTGTTGGGGCAGCAGCCCAGACTGAATGAGGGGTCGAGTCAGCCCCTGACCTGTGAAGACAGCTTTGCTCAGGCACGGGTCAATTCAAGAGACAGGCTTTTGCCCTGGGATATTTGCTCCAATCTTCCTCTGTTCCAGAGACTCGGTCGGGTTCAGACTGAGCCTTCCACAGAATACTAACACGGGGTCGGCAAGTGGCCGGCTGTTCCCTTTTCAGACAGTTTTGCAGCCTGGCTACCAGAGAGGCGTCTTACAAAGGGACATTTGGCTCGCTCCTGCAGATCCCTGGTTTTCAAGCCATGCAGAGGACAACGATGCTGTTCATGTCCCAGGACCTGTTGCCCAGGACTGCCAGCGCTGGCCAAGCACCCTATAAGCCCTGCACGAGCATGGGTCCCACTGCCACTGGAGTCTGGGGTCCCCTGGAACCACGCAGCCCCTGGGACGTGCCTTCCTGCTCAGGGGACGATGGCGGACTGCTGCTTCCTCTGCTCCTGCCTCATCTTCAGAGCCAGCATCACCCGGCGGTACAAGTCTGGGGAGGAAGGGGAGCGGTCAGGCACTGACACGGGGGTTCAGCCTGGCAGCCTGCGCTGAGCGAGGGCTGCAGGGACACCCCAGGCTCCAGCACTGTGCCCTCGCCTGGCCTCCCCACATCCCACCCGAAGGCAGAGGCAGCAGCATCTGCCTCCCCAACGGCCCCCACCTTGCCCTGCACCAGCACTTGCTTATGCCCGTGCCATGCCCCCGCACCAAGCACCACATGGGCCAGGGCTCCTGCGCAGCTCACGCCCCGCTGCCAGCAGGCCAGACCCCCGGGATGCTTTTCAGCAAAATCTGTCCTGGAAAATACCAACCAAGAGTGCTCGAGACCTCCTCACACTGCTGCTCCATGGCAGGTTCCTGCGACTTGATTTTATTCTTGATTTTCTTCTTCTTCTTCTTTTTCATGCCCTGCGCTAGATGGAGAAATACAAAATTTCAGGCACCAACCACATCTGGGCAAGGATGCATTTGTCACCAAACCAGTCGAGAGGACTGCTGCTGGCGGATCTGCAGTCCTCCACCACCTCCGTGCACCAACACCTGCGGAGATGCTCAGAGGCGTCTCTCCTCTTCCCTGGTCACACTCCCACGACCCCACTCAGCTGATCTGCAAGCAAAGCTAACAGAGACGGTGGGGACCAGTGGTCCGGCATACCACCAGGTTGCCAGGTCCCAAAAACACCCGTCGGGTGTCTCTGGGGGTCCTGGTCCCAGTGGTGCCAGTGGTGCCAACAGCCCCCCGCAGCCCCCTCTCACCTGGGTGGGGGGTGGCCGTCCTGGTGGGCACGGGCTCCTCCTGCCCGACCCTGTTGGAGGGCAGCAGCCCCCCAGCAGCCCCCGTTCGGCTGTCACCCCCTCCTCCTGGTCCCTCCGGCTCCTCGGCTGGGCTTGGCTGCCCCGAGCCCTTCTTTCTCACCTTCGCCTTCCTCTTCCTCCTCCCGGGGCCCCTCGTTCTCTCCTCCTGGGCAGGGTAAAGGGGGTGAGGGGAAGGTGGCAGACCCCCCTTCCATCCCGTCCCATCCCGGGGGCTCACTCACCAGCGGGAGGAGGCGGCGGACGGGCCGCAGCGGCCGGTCCTCCTCGGTCTTCCCCGCTCCATCTCGGGCACCCTCCCCGGGGGGCGGCGGGTCCCTGGCGGGGCGAGAGCACGGCGGGGGGCGGGGGGGGGGCACGCGGGG